AAAGCACCGAAATGTGCGCTGCTTTTCGGTCTGGTTACTACCGTTTATGTCAGAACCGGTGCCATCATGGCACCGGACACCGGTACCCATCCCTAGTTGTCTAATTATAGATACTTACATAAGTCTTGCTAGGACTAAGATAATGATTTCCATCTATGAATAAAACTACATTGTTGGGACAGCACAAAATGACATAAACAACCAGTTTGGCTCTGTAGGTTCACAGTCATCCAGGTAATGGTAGCCTTAAGGGCTAAACAGGAAGGCAACTTAGGTTTTTTTTGTTTGTTTGTTTGTTTTGGTTTGGTTTGGTTTTTGTGAAGACGATTCACCTCTCAAACAAGAGGCTTCTTCAGTTTTAAAAGTTGACAGCCAATATATTTAAACAGTAGTTGGGTTGTCCCATAGGAGGTGATTATTGACCCACTATTAATCATGTGCATAATCACATAAGTTGTGAAAAAAGGCATGGGTCATTAGCATCAGGATTTTGGGTAAAACCACTGAGACCTTGCCTTGTCCTGTCATGTGACCTATCAAGGTCACCTAACGCAACTTGAGTTTAGAACAACGGTTAGCATCCCCTTTTTAGCTGTTGGCATGGTGATGTTTTGTTTTTTATTTAGAGATTTAATGACCTTTTCTTCAATTGTGATGTTGGATGGAGATGGTCTTGCACTGGAGAGGATAGCTGAAAGCTTCATCCTGATTTCCTCCGGTTGTTAGCAACAGAAACAACAATAAGTATTATTAAACTATGAGGATAACCACTAATTTTCTGTTCACAAATTTATATAAGACTGAGGTTATTGTACTTGGCCCTAAAAGTCTTTGAAATATGGTATCTAACCAGATGCCGACTCTGGATGGCATTACCTCGGCCTCGAGTAATACTGCGAGGAATCTTAGACCCTTTTTTTTTTTTTTATTTTAAATATGAGCATGTCATTCAATGCTTATATTAATCATGTCTCAGAGTGATGTTGACTTCTTTGAATTCTAAGCTTGACTACTGTAATTTCTTATTATCAGGATGTCCTATAAACTGATGTAAAAATCAGCTAATCCAAAATGCTGCAGTAGGAATACTGACGGGGACTAAAAAGAGAGAACATATTTTTTCCTGTGTGGGCTTCCCTTCATTGGCTCCCTGTTAAATCCAGAATCAAATTTAAAATCCTTCACCTCATACAAGGTCCTGAGTAAACAGGCCCCATCTTAACCTAATATTCTAATCACACCAATTAAGCCCTTTGCTCTCAGACTGCAAACTTGTTGTTCCTAGAGTATTTAAAAGAAGAATGGGACGTAGAGCATTAACTTTCAGGCCCCTTCTCTGTGGAATCAGCTTCAAGTTTGTATTTAGGAGATGGGAGAAATAAAAATGCATTTAAATATTTCCAGTATTAAACGATGTTAGGGTGTGCACAAGTAAATTTTTACAGGCTGATTATTTTGTGCTGCATTTAAATAAATATTTGAATATTTGGCAACAGGAAGGCATTTGTATACAACAGTAATACTGTTTAATTGCTAAAAGTAAGGTCTATGATAATAATTTCTCCAAAAACTATTTAAAGTAAAATGTTCCAAATAAGGTAGTTGAGATTAAAAATACATGAGGTGGCTATTCAAAACAAACAACATATTGAAACTTCCTGCTGTTTGCAAATTGAAAGCAGAACACAGTAGGTTATTTATTCAGATTAAAATCTTGTCTTCGTGTCTTCAGCTTAGCAGTTTGTGCTAGCACAAAAAGCAGTACTCTGATACTCGCATCTTATTGCTATGAAACAATCAGAACCATTAAATGTTGCTTAATGCATTCTTAATTATTTTCTATTTTTCTATTTTAGAAATGCTGCTCATGGTTTTTCTCTAATTCCGGTGGACAATTTGAAGGTGACTATGAAGGAAATTCTCCAGAAAGCTCTCAAGAAGAGGAAAGGTTCACAGAAAGGCTCGGGTAATGATGTTTGCACCATTTATTCCCTTCTCTCTTTAATGCAAGGAAGACAGTGTGCTGTCTTTTTATGATCTGTTAATCATAAAAGTGTGCTGTTTTCCTTGAATTATCCATAAATATAATCCATAAATATAATCTCTTTTGGATACATTGGGCATAATTCTACATCTTTGTATTTTGTGTCTGAAAATAGTTTTTGGCATGTTTTACTATATACCTCACATTGCTAGATAAGGAGTGATTAACCTACAGACTGCCTAGATTGTAACTTGACTTTCCACTCCGAGTGCCTTGTACAGATACAGGCCCTTAGCAAGCTCTGGGTGGCAGTTATGAGAGCTGAGTGTCAGCCATTTTCCAGGCACTTCCCAGATGCTGGGAGTCCTCCCTCCTTCTCCTGGGACATCTCTGCTTTCTACTATGAACACACTTTTCATTAAGTTGCAGAATGTTACCAAGTGTGTGTATGTGATGATAGCATGTCAGTGATGGAAATAACTATCTCTTTTCATCAGCAAGAGTTTTGTTTCTGAGAGACAGTAATTTTATTAACTGTGTTTGATCTAAAGAAGTCAAACCAAAGAAGGTTCACATTACAGGAATTCGGAGGAGACAAAGGGAATGGCTAGAAATTTAATAATACATAGAATATCTTGGCTCTTAAGAGGGAAGTTTGGTGGAGTAGAGCTGCAGTGACCCTAATGACACTGGTCTCTAATTAGTGACAGCAACCAGTGGTTGTAGAGCCTAAAACGTTTCACTTTTGACACATGAATGAATATGCATTTGACAATTTGACACATGAGACACGCAGACTTCAGGAGGAGTTACAGTATCTGATTAGTCCGAAAGTCACGGGCAAAGGAGGATCCCAGATTATTTTGGATATGCTTCTTTTTAAAAAAATATATATATTTACATATCTACAGTTCCAGTTGTTACCAGTAGCTTTCCTATTAGTTAACATTTCATTCTACTTGAACAACTGCAGCACAGTCAAACAATTAGTCTGGCACTAGTTTGAAAGTAACAACTAAAAACAAGACCCAAGTTGTTGAAAAATAACTTTCTCATAAGAGTTTTGCAATATCAATAAAAGTTGTCAGTGCTGTGTTGATGTAAATACTCTCATTCTCAAACAGGGCCCTTGTATCGTCTCGAGAAGCAGACCGAGCCAAATGTAGCAGTAGACCTGGACTCCTCACTGGAGAGCCAGAGTACCCTGGAATTTTGCCTGGTCAGAGAAAACAGTAAGTGATCTTACAATGACTGTTGTCATGAGACCTCTAGACAGCAAACCTCTTGCATGGACTAAGTAAGGTACATAAAAAAGTTATTATGTTTGGAAAGATAAGTGTCTGGACTTCTTTAAGTTTCTTGACGACATTTCACCTCTTGTCTGAGAAGCTTCTTCAGCTGGCTTCTACACACCTTGGCTTGTGTGATTAGGCAGAGGACCCCAAGAGGGTCCATAACCCTTCCAAATAGGGCTTAAAATCTGGGACTCTCCACCAATTGCTCTTAGAACTGAAGAAGCTTCTCGGATGAGAAGACCTCTTCAGGAAACTTAAAGAAGTCCTGACGCATATTCTTGATGCCAGAATATGTCAGGTGTGTTGTACAGCTTGCTTTATGTCCTTTCATATGATATAGTACTCTATGTGGTTTCTTTAAAAATAATTACACGGCCAACTTTGACCTTGGGCACTAACAGGAAGGTCGAGGTCAGACGCTTAGCCAACCTAGGTACTCATTATCCCCCAAGTCATACTATACTGTGAATTTTAAAGTCAATTCATGAAAAAATACAAAATGTAAACTGATTTTCTGATTTGGTGTGATCTTGATGTTGACCCAATTTTCACCTAAATTAAAATACCTGGAGTTGGTGTGACCTTGACCCAGTTATTATCAAAATGAAATCAGCTGGAGCTATTATTGGTATCTACCGTCCCACAGAATAAAAAAATTATATTTTGAAAAATGTGGACGCTAGACTGCAAACAAACAAACTGATTACATATTTCCTTCCTTCTGGAAGAGCAACATCAAAGTTTAAGTATAGCCCTTGCCCTTGCCCTTCAGGGGTAGTTGCACTCTCTGAGTGCTCTTGTTTTCTTTCTGTCTTCAGGCTCCAGAGGTGAGGAGAGTTCAGAGGAAGACCCTCCTATTGACATCACCACAGTCCAAGACATGTTGAGCAGTCATCACTACAAGTCCTTCAAGATCAGCATGATCCACAAACTGCGTTTCACCACAGATGTCCAGCTAGGTACAAACTGCTTGATGCACGTTATCCGCTTACAAATTGTAGTCAGTATTTTTTTAATTAAATTCATTGTGTGCAGCTTACAAAGATTTTTTTTTATGGATTTTTTATGATTATTTATACTTGAAATACAATGGGTCCCTATTTCTCCACAAAGAATGATGCATCTCATTTTTAGTGATTTTTGAATAGCAGCTGTATTTTTTTTTTTTTTTTAAAAAGTTGTTTTTTTTAATTCATTGTTTAAACCTTAATATTAAAACAGTTTTTAAAGAACAGTCGAAACAACTAGAGGTAACAAATAAAAAACAAACACATAGATTGCAAGAATTTATTGCAATTATGCAATGCGTGGCTACCGCAGCATTCTGCAGCGCCAACAGTGAATGTGTATCATGTATGAAATACATTGACCATCATGTTTTACATATGGGTATCTCATCAGGGATTTCAGGAGAAAAACTGGAGATTGATCCTGTCACCAATCAGAAAGCCAGTACTAAGTTCTGGATTCGGCAGAAACCCATTTCCATTGACTCGGACCACCTTTGTGCTTGTGACCTTGTGGAGGAAAGAAGCCCTAGTGAGTGGCGCACAGAAACATTAGGTCACCCTGCACATGTCAACACACTATTCATGTACTTAAACTTTCGTTACCTTTAAGGTTTATTTTGCTTTTATCCATTTATCTACATCTACACTACTCAACAATTAAAGGAACACTGAGTTCCTTATCCCAGAAGTCAGTTAAACTTCTGGTATATTGATCTGGTCAATTTAAGTAGCTTACGGGGTTATTGATGCATTTCAGCTGTTTTGGTGTTAATGAAATTAATGAAAGGTGCACTAGAAGGCCAAACCATACTGACATTCTTGGTGACATTCAAATACTTTCATCTCCTGCTCCTATCCTGCAGTCAGCCCAGAATGGTTGTTGGACAAGTTTGTTGTATCATTTTGGTCTAATGAAACATGTTTTTCCTTTTTACTTTACAGGTCATGCAATATTTAAACTCACTTATCTCAGCAATCACGACTACAAGCCTCTCTACTTTGAGTCTGATGCTGCTACTGTCAATGAAATAGTGCTGAAGGTGAGTTTGAGCTGAATGTCTGTGCTGGAGCACATTTCTGTGAGGACAAAGATTTAACAGTTTTGATTTAGTTAGTTATTCTAATACCTGCTAAATATGGCAAAGCAGGAGTGGCAAAAGAAACTAAGCAGATCAGAACAATCTCTGTTATGTTATTTATTTTATTTTATTTGTATAGCACAATTCAACAACATGTTAAAAGAACGAGTGTTTACGCAAGTACAGTTTAATGTACGCATTTCCCTTGATGATTTTCCTTTTGTTGTCAGCTTTGATTAGATTGCAGTACCCTTCAACTCGTTAAAACAACTGCGTTGTTTTTATTTTTAGATCAGAACGATGGAAAGTAGCTCTGTTCCAATGTGTCACCATCAAATGTGAATGTACACCATGAGGACAAAGAGACTCGCATGTCTGTAGTTGCTGATGTGTGACACTCTTTGCAGAGATGCTGCACACAGGCAGTGCTTCGAAATATCATGTTTCATGATCCAACAGGACAAAACCAAAACTTATATCCTCGTGCAGTCGGTGAAATGGCTCAATGAGGTCCTTGCCAGTGCGCTCGAATGGAACATCCATTAATAGGAAAGGCTAGTTGGTGCTATTTAACATTCTGAGCAGGATGCACACAAGCAGTGCACATCTCTTCAGATACCCAGCCACTAGAATTGGGTCATAATTTGGTCCAAAGTTTTAGCATACCACAATTATTTCCCATCAAAAACTGTTCCTTTTCAGTGCGAGTGTCAGGACTCAGTTGATAAAGTCTGTCCCTTGTCTCTCCTGTATCTTTTGTGCTATGGACACTACATATTCATAGCTCTTGTTAGTACACCTCCAAACATTGCTCTACCAACCTATTAAACCTGGGTCAGTCAACTGGGAGCTATTTCTGTTAATTTTGCCCGTGTTTTATGTCCACATCACCATGGGATATTTGTAAACGTCACCACGTACGCTTCAACCAACTCTGCTTCCACCAAAGCCCCAGGGCAAACCAGGTTCTGTTAAATCAGCGTCTGTGTACAGCTCGAGTCAGTCAATGCCGGTTGTGTTATACGGCTGACCACATGGATCACAAAACCTCCTCAGGTGGCTGTCTGCATTTCCAACACTCCCGGACTGATGTGTGCGTGGCTTCCTAAGAGCTGGAAGAAGTGCTTGTAACCTGTAGGTTCTGAGGAGTGAAATGCATGAAGGGTTAACGAGAGCGCCGTTTGGTAGCTTGGGTTGGGTTGATGGGGCAGCAGGTAGTTTTCTCTTTGGTGCTGGCACCGATTCCTGCAACCTTCAGCCTTTTAGCATAGGCAAAGGGTCAGTCCTCTGCTTCCAGCCTAGAGCTGCTGAAGCAAGGGGGAAATAGCTGAACCAGTCCAGCAGATCTGTCCTTGAAAGTAAATGTTTACTATGACTGCCTGTATCCTTTCCATCTTGTTCGTGCCAAAAAATGCTTTTTTGTGACTATCAAACTGTGTGATTGTTGGGATTTGAAGAAATGAGAGCAAATTATGCGCTTTTGTTTTATGCCGCTAGAAACAAAGTGCGTTAAGATACAATTTTAAAATGGATTCTTTGCTAAGTTGTTTTGTGACACTGTTTAATCCCCTGAGTTTGAAACACCTTCAGCTAATACTGAAGACCAGTTATTAAAGAAAGAAAGAAAGAAACAGCAGAAAGTCTGGATCCTTGGAAAGAAGATGTAAAGACAAAAGGGGTGGCTCAATAATTTTTCACAGTACTGTAGTGCAGTGTTTGAAATGCAAATGAATGCATCACACAAATCTTTTAAGTCAATTCATAATTAACGCTAGTTTTTCCCAATTTTTTTCAGATAAACTACATCTTGGAGTCCCGGGCCAGCACCTCCCGTGCTGATTACTTTGCCCAGAAACAACGAAAACTGAGCCGCCGGACCAGCTTCAGTTTCCAGAAGGAGAAGAAGACTGGGCAATAGACGGGCTCCTCTGCCACCTGTCAGTTCATTCTCTCTATATAGCCTTGTATATGGAGAGCATCAACCTAAATCTACAATCCCTATAAAGAAGACTGGCAGAAATGCGACAAAGGTGAAAATGAGAGGAAGAGAGCAATGGTTAGAAAATGGTTCTGCAGGATGTATGTCTGCTTCAGCAGAGCAAGGTGGAAGTTTCTGAAACTTCACCAGTGTCAAGTCATTCTTTTTCTAACATTGAAAAAAAGACTTGTTTTGGCTGTTGTGTTTTTGTCAGGTTTTTTTTTTTTTACTTTTTGTTCATTCATTGCCTCTGAATCTAAGCTCTGTCCTCCAGGATGGATATGTAGAGCTTCAACAAGTTGGCAATGTGCACCAAAAAAAAATCAAAGCTACAGACTGTATTATAGCTTTTGCCCTCCTCGTCTAACAGATTTAACGAATGTGAAAATAAAGGTTTCACATTTTTAATGTATTGTACAGAGATATTTTTTATTTAGGAAATTAAAGGTGTCTCTGGACTGTGTTGTTGGGTTTATCAGTCTAACATTAAAGCATTTCATTCAGGCATATATTTAAAAAAAAAAGTTTTAATAGCAAATATTCTTCATGCTTTTAGAAGATCAAACACTTTTAGAAATAAAAAAAATTGTTAATTTGAAAGTTTTAAAGGGATAAATGGACTGGTTCTTATCTGTGCACTCAAAGCGCTTCATACAACTTGCCTCATTCATCTGTACAAGCACTTTTTTTCTCTGATTTTTCTGCTGAAGTGCTTTTTATCTAACATTCAGATACATTCATACTTTGATGGATGCATCAGAGAGCAACTCAGGGTTAGTATTTTGCCCAAGGCTACTTGGCATGCAGGCTGGAGCAGACAAGGATCAAACCACCAACCTTCCGTTTAGTGGATCGCCCGCTCTACCTCCTAAGCCACAGCCACCTCCATATATACAGATATGAGATTTGAATGTTAAACTTTTGATTGCTGGGTTAACTCTTTATCCCTGCTCAATTAACACGGACTGTAAAACAAACTAAGCAACAACTTGCCAGGATAAAAAAAAAAAATGAAATTCCTTATCAATTCTCATTGCTCCACTTTGAGAACCACCACCGTCTCTAAGCAGGATATCAAAGACATTACATTCTTGCTGAATTCAAGTGTTTATGTTGGAGGTATTTCCCCTCTTTGTTGTGATCAGTGTTCATTACTAAAGTAAAAAAAAGTTGTTACACATATACAAAGAACATTTCTCTTAAAAGTAATGCAGCACGTTGATTAATTACTCCCAGGAAAAAGACATTCGTTAAACTACCTTTATAACTACTCGTTACATTACTTCAATCTTACTCTGTATAATGATCTTAAACACACTGTCTCATAATTACCAATTAAGAATATAAACCTACAGACTACAGCCCCACACACCAACACAAATCCCTAGTACAGCTGGTACAGCGTCCACATCACTACAGCCGCAGCACCAACCCGTCTGTTGATCCCCTCTCCCATTAACTCATGAACAAGACCCCGAGATTCTCCTGCACTGGGGGCAGGAATTCATCCCAAACCTGGAGCGGGAAGTCCACCCTTTTCCAGTGAAGGACCATGGCCTCAGATTTGGAGGCGCTGATTCTTATTCTGACCGCTTCACATTTGGCCGTGAACTGTTTTAGTGCGAGCTAGAGGCGATCACCCGATGAAGGCAACAGAGCCGTGTCATCTGCAAAAAGCAGAGATGACCACCCAAGTGAGAGCCTTCCAGCACTTGACTACGCCTAGAAATTCTCTCCATAAAAATTCCGGCCATGCAGCCCAATTTCAACACTGTTAACAGGAAAAGGCAGAACCAGGCTTGGGGGGGGGGCAGCCATCTGCTGCAAATGGGTGAGGGGAGGGAGACAAAGCAAAAGTCACATTGAAGAAATCCAGAGATTAATAATGATTAATCATTAAATGTGTGGTGTATAAACGCATTGTAGAAAAAAAAGGTGAGTGAAGTAAAAAGATGAATCATGGGAAACGGCCAGTAGCCTAGCAGCACAACTAAGAGATGATTCAGGCTTACATAATCCAGCCCTAAATATATGGTTTATCAGAAAGAACATTTTTAAGCTTAATCTTAAAAGTATAGAAGTCGTCTGTCACCTGAATCCAAACTTGGAAGCTGGTCTTACAGAAGACTTCAGCCTTCCAGTATCCTAGGAATCACAAAATTCTGTACTGTGAGGTTTTAAGATGGAGCCTGGTTACTCAGGACCGATTTTAAATTTGATTCTGGATTTAACAGGGAGCCACTGAAGAGAAGTCGATATGGGAGAAACATGCTCCTTTCAGTGTTTTTACTGTAGTATTTTGGATCAACTGAAGGCTTTTCAGGGAGTTTTTAGGACATCCTGATAATAACAAATTACAATAGTCCAGGATAGATGTAATAAATGCAGGAATGTTTTTTTTCAGAATCACTTAAGACTCAATGTTTCTAATTTTAGAGATACTGTGAACGTACAAAACAAGCAGTGTTACATACAGTAAAAGGAGTATTGAACACGTCACCAATTTTCATTATGACAGTTCTCACCAACAAAGGCTCTTTATCAAGTATTAATTACATTTCAGTAAGCGTGTTCAATACTTTTCCCTGTGTAATTTGTCATTATTAGACATAATTTATGGACATTTTTGGTGTGATTACTTTGCATGTGTAAACATGTGTTTTGATGCGTTCAATACTTCTTTTACCTGTTGTATTTGTATTTGTAATATGTGTATCAAAGGACACATCCTGTTCAAAACTGACTTCCAGGATTCCTCACAGTGCTACTGAAGGCCATCCAGGGTAAGTATCTAGTTAGACACCATGTTTCTAGGATTTTTAGGACCAGGTACCATCTGAATTTAGAAGCAGAGAATTAGAAGTGATTATTAGTGGTAAGACTACAAAGCTGAAGGGATTAGGAACAACAGAAATCAGCCACAAAGTGGTAGACCCTTTAAAAATGGGGTCAGCAGATGCTGAAGTGCATAGTGTGCAGAGGTAACCAACTTTCCGTAGTCACTACAGATGAACTCGAGAACAGTTCATAAAGTGCTTTATTAAATGGTTTCCATGAACAAGTAGCTGAATCCAAGCCATACGTCACCAAACATATTGCAAACAAGTGTCGGATGCAGTAAATGGACTGATTCTTATATATTGCTATTCCCGGCGTACTCAAAGCACTCTATACAACATGCCACATACACCAGTACTGTCTTCTGTGCTGTTAAGTGCTTACTGACTATCATTCACACTCCGATAGATGCATCGGAGAGCAACTTGGGGTTAATATCTTGCCCAAGGATATTTGGCATGCAAAATAGGGGGAGACAGGGATCGAACAACCAATCAGTTGATGACCTGCTCTATCTCCTGAGCTATAGCCACCCCAAAGTGTAAAGCATACCACGACTGGACTCTAGATCAGTGAGAGTCATTATCCCTGGAGTAAAAAATCATGCTTCTAAGTCTGTCAATCTGATCTGAGTCTGGGTTTGGCAGTCGCCAGGAGAACAGTACTTGTCTGCTGCATAGTGGTTCCACTGAAAGGAACTCTTAATGATTCAACATGCTAAGACACTTTGTTAGAACCGTTTGGAAATGGCCACTTCCTGTTCCAACATGACTGTGCACCAGTGCACAAAGCAACGCCCATAAGACATGGTTCAACAAGTTAGGTGTGGAAGGACTTTTGACTGACCTCAACCCAACAGAACACCTTTGGGATGAGTTAAAGTGGAGACTGTAAGCCAGATCTTCATTAGTGTCTGACATCGCAAATATACTTCAGGAAAAACTGTCAAACAGAACAAATCATTTTTTGTAATTGTTTGATTTGAAAAAAAAAATAAAAATCAAACAATCTTGGATTCCATTTTGCCAAGTCAAGTTGATAACCTGTTAAAGGCAGTTTGGTGTCTGCACATCTTGCAGCTTAAGCCTTAAATTCTCTTTTTCGTTTATTGTGGCTGAAATATCTGGATTTGTCGATTAAGTGATAAATTGTAATCTTTGTCTCTCTTCCACAGCGTGTCTTTTGTCCTGTCTTCCTTCTCTCACCCCAGCTGGTTGCAGCAGCTGGCTGTCCCTCCCTGAGCCTGGTTCTGCTGGAGGTTTCTTCCTGTTAAAAGGGAGTTTTTTTCCCCACTGTCACAAAGTGCATGCTCATATGGGGTCATATGAATGTTGGGTTTTTCCAACATTTGTATTATTGTGAGGTCTACCTTACAAAAAGTGGCAGTTAATTCTTCCTTAACTAGGTTCATTAACAAAAACAGGATAACTGATAACAGAATAGCTGATCAGTATATATAGTAGTTATATAATGTGTTACAATCGGCCCAGTTGCTGGCACAAAACGGGAGGTCCTAGAAGCAGACAGAGTGAACTCAGCAATGATTACACAAGTGATTTATTTATTGATGGCAGTGAATAACGACACCTAAACCCTCAACCTAATCTGGTGACAACTATTTACAAGAATCTATGTTCAAAGGGGAATGTGCAGGGCTCCAGGAAGTTTCTCTGGAAACACTGGGGATGTGGGGAAAGCACAAAGGACAGGTTTTTCCAGGGCGGGGAGCACAGAGTCTCTAGGATACAGGGAGAGCAGAGTAAGTGAAGGAAACAAAGGCAGGGAGACCGAAGAGTTAATCAGTAGGTGTTGCTGCTTACTCGTGCTGATTCGAGTGAGTGGTTTTGTGACAGGGAAAGAAGTCCGACCTGTGAGTCCAGTACATTGAAGCAGACGGCAGGCAGAGAGAGTGAAGGTAATCAGTCAAGACTGAGTGGGATCGGTGGCAAATGATGAGGGTTCCCAGCTGCAGGCTGCCAATGGAGTGAGTATTGAAGCAAGCTGTGAGCACAAGGAGAACACAGGTAAGGCCAACGTTGAGACACAGCGATAAGCAGCCTGTTATCATCGTGAGTAGCTGACGGATTGGTGAAGGAGAGTAGACCAGGCCGGGTTTAAATGCAGCCTCCACATTGCAGCTGATTAGTCCCAGGTGCGGGAGATTGCCTGACTCCGCCTCAGGGAGGACCCCGGAAGACAGCTGCCAGCCCCGTTGCCACAACCACTGCAGCACTTAATGAAATGCCAGAGCAATTTCCTAAAATTTTGATATTTAATACTGAAGGATGAAGGGAAACCAATTTAGTAACAGTGTTACTTAGCTGATGGTGAGAGTCAAGTGCAAGAAGAATGTTCTTCACAATTGAGTTTGAGTTTTTGACAGCAGTGTATGTGACCTGTAGTAAAATGATCATTTGATTAATTGTTCAAAATGGAAATATGAACATGAGTAAAATTCCACATCAGGACAGCAGTATCAGCAGAAAAATGGAGATACCTGGAATAGCTGTAGTTTAGCTGAATTTGTGAGCCTTTGAGCAGAGACGTCCAGCTTAAACACTTTGAAGTTC